ATGCTCAACACACATTTATAAAAAATAATCCATCTATACTGCCTGAAATGCTCTCCCATGTGTAACCAATAAATGAAAGGACTACTGATGTATGATACATTTCAATTTGCCTCAGGAATACAAGCCAAAGCTTAATTGCCTTCACACACTGAACTGTGCAGTGAGAATTCAAAGTCATCATATTAGCCGTGCTGGATGTTTGGTTCTGAACAACGTTATTACCGACGTCCCCCGGCTCCCTATTTCTGCAGCTCTGAACAAAAAGTAGACAGTGAACCTTGCAGAAAGCTGCCGGTTGTATATTGGCAGGCCTACGACCGGTGGTGTAAGACAGTTACGTGGTTACACAGAGTGTGTGTAACAGGCCGATAAGAGCAATGTTGGGATCAAATAGAGGTGGGGTACGGTGAAGGAATATATGCCAGGCCAGTCATGGTGATTCACTCTGTTCATATGCTTTGTGCTTTCCGTCCCACTTCATGTCTCTGTGTCCATCTGATATCATGCTTCATGTGTCTTAGAAAATTGCCTAGCAGACATTCACTTCATGGAGATTGGAAAAATACTCGAACAGAAGAGACTTTACTAGATAAACTGTATAAAAAAGGCAGTGGGAAAAAGTGTCTGCTAATCATTATCTTCCAGAGATTTTCATAAAACCAACTAAATAATAGAACAATGCATGCGTTCCCCATAAGTGTGTGAATGATACGTACAAAAAAACATGGATTTGTGTTCACAATAAGGACTTTTTCCTTGCCAATATACGCCAATTCAAAGACTCATAATTCAATAGCTTTGTAGAACCTGGGCTTACAAAAACAGTTGTGATGCAGTACTCTTTGGGGATTATTGATTAAATGACTTATTGATGGAAGGCTAAAGCCTCGAAGCTTGATATTGATTCTGGGTTTCCAGGGAATAGAGGAGACAGCCATAAAGAGATGTTGTAACTCATAATAGCCTTGCAGAGGCTAAGAGGATATTGTGAATAATGTGGTACCATAATCTGTGCAGGGCTATATTGCTCATAAAGTCAGAATTTTGGTAGTGCATGCAAAAACCCATGTCAACTTTTTTGTTATCATTATGGGGGACTTTGACTCTAGCAATACCAAAACAATGTTTCAACAATCCAACCTGTAGCCTCTTAGAGGAACTTACAAATGCAAAATTCCCTCAACCTTTAACTCATATTTTCCTAGTGTAGGAAGTGGCCATCTTCTCAGCCTCCACCCATTCTCGCAAACTTGAGTATTTCTGTGTTTACGACGAAGCACTGGAAATATGTTTTTCTCCTTCTCTAAAGAGACAAGAAGGCGAGAGGGAGACAGAGAGAGAGAGATAAGTGTAGATATGCCTTTGGCAGTAGACGGTAATGACTTGCTGCTTTGCATGATACAAATGATAATGTGTTCTGGACGTATTTATGATAGAGTGGCCATTTGAAAAATGTGAAACTGAGGCTGCGGCCTAGCAATTTGTAAATATATGACCTCAGTTCTGAGGCAGACATTACAGCTTAAGTTAGATTAATGAAACTGAAATAGGAACTTCACTCAGGTGCTGAGAAAAACAATATTCAGATGAACCTCTGTACACCTTGTTTTTTACACTGAAGTTGTCTCATCATTTTTACCATGATAATATAATCCCAGTTGGCTGTGAGATAATGCTGCAGAATATAAAGAAAGTCGGATTTATGACAGCTATGGTCCTACAATACACCAATGGAGCTGAAATCGATGCTGGGAAAGTTTCCGACCCTATTAGCAGGGGGTGGAATCATAACAGTTAACCTAATGACGAGAGGTGTTTGAACAGAAGTTCTGCAATGCAAGTAGAAAAAAAAAAGCTTACATTCATGCCAATCAATATTCTCGAAAACCATTGCTGAAGACATTTAAATTATATTTAAATATCTACATTAACTAAAGGCTTGAAACTTTAAGTAAATATCAAAAAATGTATGCACAAAATCCATCAGCTAGGGTGGACTAAATATAGGTTTTGAGTGCATTCTTAGGAGAATATTGTAAGATCTTGATATTACAATGTCTTGGATGACACATTTATCAAATAAGGCTCTTTATCTCTGTCCTTCATACAGTATGTGCTCTGCTTACAAAATTGTCTTTTTCTTCTTTCCCCACCTGCATCTCACTGCCTCTGATCATGCTTGACAGCTGTCCTTCCTTTACCTTTCCCTACGACACACACACACACACACACACACACACACACACACACACACACACACACACACACACACACACACACACACACACACACACACACACACACACACACACACACAGTCAAAGATCAAGGACACAGAAAAAAGAAATCGCACTTCAGTAGAATCAGATGTCATTCAGCTTGGCTATTTTAAAGTTTTATGAGCAGCGACAAGTGTTCGACCACCGGATGT